CACTTTTCATCTATTAGTATTTCTATGCCTGAACCTTTTTTCTTGTCTATTGCTGCACTAGTCCAGTATCCCTTATAACTATGCAGTAAAAATTTTCTTTCTCTTTCTACAATGTTTGTTTTCATTATTCCTACTATAGCACATTCTTCTTTTTCTGCCTATTATAGAAGGTTACCTATTTTCCATTCTCTTGTTTTAAGTTTGTTGATGTTGTGACATGCTATTTTTAATTCTTTCTTTCTCTGCTTCCATTTTTCTTTCAGACGTTTATGTCTTGTTTCTCTGCTTTCTACTTTCTTTTTCCTTTTTTCTTTGGTTTATTATTATAGCCAGGAGATAACTCTATGTTTCTTTTTTCAAATATTCTTTTTTCACTATGCAAAAACTCTTCAATCTCCTGGTCTATGTTTATTAATTCAACTGTAGCACTATTAGAAGTGGTTGGCACTATCTTTTCCTGTCTTCTATTCTATTTTATTTTGTTGTACCTCAATTCTCTCTAGTCTCTCAAGAATTTTTTCTAAAAGGTTCTGGTTCTGTGCTTGTGGATCTTCTTTCTCTGTATTACTATTTCCATTATCCAACTATTCAACTATGTCTTGTATTTGAGAATCGTTTTCTATTTTTACATCTCTTGTTTCAGTTTTGACTGTTTTGGTTTTCACTTTTTTCTTTTCTTTTATTTGTGTTTCTATTTTCTAGATCATCTCTTCTTCTTTTTGTGAACCTTCTGCTTGGATTTTGGTTTTTCTGTATCAGTTTCTTCCTCTTCTTTTCTAAGAAACTTCTTTTCTTTTGACTTCTTTTTTCCTTTCATTTGACCAGAATACATGAAAGTTATTGTATATGATTGGTCTTGATTGTGCTGTTTCTTTTTCTTTCTTTGTTGCAAATGAAATTATTGCAGTCCTTCTTTGGTTTCCATTCCTATTTGGTGGAATGTATACTGATTTTGCACCTTTATTCCTCAAACATTGTAATAGTAAAACTTCAGAGGTACTGCTTAGCAACTCTGCCAACTTTGCTGTATATTGCCTTTGCTTTTGTCTTGCTTTATGATCTTCTTTTTCTTCTGTTACTTCTACCAGTTTATGGTTGTCAACTGGTATAGACCAAGGGGTACTTCTTTTTTCTGATTCTTCTATTTGTATTATTGCAAGAGCCTTGTATTTGGATCTTTTAATTTTCATTATTTGTGCATTTTTAAATATTCTGTATATATATTCGAGCTTCTTCTTTTTTATATCTGCTGGCAGGTCCCAGATTGTTATATGTTTTGTATTCTTTACTTCTTATTTCTCAGTAACTGTATGTTCTTCTTCTTCTCGAATTTCTTCATCTTCATGGCTCTTTTCTTTATATTCTTTTATGCTACATTTTCTATTTTGGTATTCATTGTTATACCTCTTTTGTTCTGTTCTTCTTCTTTCTTTGTTCTCTTCTGATATCATTTTGTACCAATTGCTTTCTTTTTTACTTATTCTTTGTATTGCCTTATTTCTATCATACTCACAGTCGAAGTTTACCTCAATCCACAAATTTCCTTGTTTAACGATTTCTTTAATGTTTTTAATATGTTCATTGTTTTTTAGTGACTAATTAATAAACTTTATATGTTCTTTTTCTGTTTCTTCAGGCACATTGTATGCTGGTATATTAGCAAGTAGACTGTTATCTTTGTTACAACTTCTTTTACTTGGTGCCTATATGCTTTCTTTTAATAGAATTTCTGCTATATCTATTTCTCTTTTCATTGTCTGCTTTCTTTTTTTTTGTCTTTCTTTCTCTTCTGATGTTGAACCTTGTCTTGATTATTTACTATTCATTTCTATATCCTCTTGTTTTGCTTCTTGTATCAGTAGTTCTTCTTTTGATCAGTCTATATTTTCATTACTTACTTCTATTTTTTTTTTTTCTTTTGTGGTAAAGTCTTCTTCTTGTGATCTTCTTTTGCTTGTATTATCTTCTTCTATTATTTTTTTAATTCTTCTCATTTGTCTTCTTGCTTTATTTCTTTCATAGCTATTTCTTGTTACACTATTTCTTTATTTTCTTGTTTTTGAATTCTTTTATATTCAATTAGCATTATATTCTTATTTGCTTCTGTAAAGTTAAGCTTCTTTTCTGTTTGTTCTCTTTCTGCTCTTTCAATTAATTCTCTAGTCTTCCTTAGTAGTGCAATTTCTGCTGGGCTTTGCTCTGTAAGCATGGCTACAATTTTATCTTCTTTGTCTAGTATTACATATGTGCTACTTAACTGATTGAAGAATATTTTCTATGTATTCTATTCATTGCCCAGTACACTCTTTTTATGAATATTGTTAAGAGACTTTCTCTACATTTCATTAATTCTATGTTCTATTTATATCTACTGCCTTCTGATTGGTTGTTCAGTTTCCTTTGTTTGTTTGCTTATCTATATATCAGATTTTACATGTATCTATATATGATTTACAATGTCTATTCTAATTTGATAACCTGCATATATCTGTTGTTGTTTTGCTATTACGTGTCTTTTGTGTAATATAAACAGATCTATGTTACAGAGTCTAATGGCAATTCCCTAATACTGTCATTTTTTAGTGAGTTTTTTGCTGTTTCTTTAATAACTCTGCTATTATTTTGCAAATAAACTTTTTTTTTGCTAGTCTAATGCTTTTTTTGTTGCTGCTTCTTTTTGTTTAGAGCTATTTAGGGTGTTTTTTATTGATAATTTTGCTAAAATCTCCTTTTTTCTTTAGCTGTTTTTTGTATCCAAATAATCGATAGAAAGAGTTCTCTGTGATTGTTGTTGAAAATAATTAATATATATTGATTAATTGTTATATATCAATATATACATATTACTAGCAATATATAACAATTATCAATATAGAGTATAATGACCTAGTAAAGTAGTCAGATTGTTAACTCACCAAATAGTAGATTGGATGTTCAAATTCTATTGACAGCAAAAATTTGGATAATCATTTATATAATATTCATATTACAGCAACTGTTACTAATGATTAAATTAGGATACCTGTAATAGTAATTACACTAGCATGACTGACAAGTCATAAGTAATTCATATAACAGTCATATGATATTTATTGTCTTTTAGAACAAGGTCTGTGATTATATAAAGGAATGCAAACTGGCAATCAGATGGTGCAAATACTAAATAAGTCCTTGTAGCCATGTAAATTTATTAAAATTGAGTAACAAAAAGTCTATTTGGAAAGATCTGAATAGAGAAGTAACTAGATCTTTGACAGTTCTATTGTAAAAGCTAGTTTGAGAAAATGAATACCAAGGTTGTAATACCCAGTCATAGTATCTGGTCATAGTAGCCAGACAAGCAAGAATTTATGAGTTAAAAGTTTCAAAGGCATCACCAACCAGGCCATCAGAATGAATTAGAGAAAAAAAATATTAGGCCAATCTGATATACTGATAGACTAATTGTAGTTTTATATAAGCTATCTAGATTAGAAGTTTGATAAAAAGGTAAGTAAAAAAACAGGAATATACTAAAGTACTAGGGTTATGCTATGAAGTAAATGCTAGGGTCTAAGTGAACTTTACAAGACATAGTAATTTAATAGTTAAGTTCTAACTACAAGTATTAGTTCTGTTATAGTAATATCTAGATCAGCTGTAAAAATAGATACAGAAGGCTCTGAAGGGTTTATCTCAAAAATAAAATAGTTCTAAGATTAAGACAATAATCTAGGCATCAGGTATAACTCAGTAAAGTTAACAGATTTGCAGGTTCAAAGAGTTTAAAATAAAATATCCAAGCAAAGATGTTAGATATAGCAATTAGTAAGAAACCTTCAGATGGACTTCTTAAATAGGTAATATAGAAAAGTTATATGTATAGCCAATTGTATGCTCTTTATATAGTGGTTCACTAAACCACATTTGCTATTGTTAAATAAAGTCAAAAGACCCAAGAGGTCATCTTAAAAAAAAAAATAATTATTAATATATAATAATTATAAATAATTATAATTATTATTAATAAGTAATAATTTGTATAAATTTTATTAAATTTTTTTAAACTTTGAATTTAGTTTTCTTAATAACTAGTAATTTAAATTAGTTAAAATTTTTATTATAAATAGTATCTACATTCAATTATATTATACTAAAGTTGTAACCAATTTAGATTAATAGTTCTTGAAAAATCTCTTGTAAACAATATTTAATTTTTTTAAAAAAGTTAACTATTGTTTACAAGCAATTTCTCAAGAACTATTAATCTAAATTATTTAAAACTTTAGTATAATATAGTTGAATATATATGTTGTACATCAGAATGAAATTACAGTAGATTTGAAATTCACTTAGATTTATTCTGAATAAACATAGATCATAATAAAATTCTAAATTGCATTCAAGCTGCTAAAGAATTCAAATTCAACTTATAGTAAAAATAAGTAGATTCTAAATTATTTTATTGAGTACATTGTTTCAGAATTTAAGTCGATTCAAGATAAGCTTTACTCAATGCAACACATTCAAATTAATTAAATTTAAAACTATTAAAAAATATTTTTACATTTATGGTTACTAGAATAATAGCTACTACTGCAAGACAATTTACTTTTTTTACATTTATAATGATTTTTATCACATATATTCTTGTAATTGCATTTAACATTGCCTACTTGCAAAAAGGATTGCATAATAGATGCTTCTCGAATGCTTATGAGCATTAAAGGAATATTATCCAATTCTGAAAACTTGTTGGGACCTAGTAGAAGAAATTCATTAGCATTGTATATAATTCTAATAATGCTGGATTTACATCCAAGCCTGTATGTATTATTTTTTAAGACTTCGAGAATTTTGCAAAGAAGTGTTTTTCGATTATTATATGTCTTGTCAATTACTAGAATCTTAATATGCACTAAATCTCCAATATTATACTTGGTTGCAACTTTTTTATTACACTTATTAAGTTGTGTCTTCATATTATTGCATTATTGTTCAAAAGACTTTGTAGCGATGCTTCGATAAACTTCATGTGCTGATGTTCTTTGAATATGTTCATCTAACAACTGCAAAAAAATAAAATAAAATTCATACTATAATATCAAATTAAAAATAACACAATTACCTGAATATTTGTGTTTAAAGTAAAAGCTGTTAAAACTGAAGTTTTGTGTCTTTTGCTTGGATGAATTTCAAGTTCACTTTCAAGTAAACTTTTATAATCACTTTCTAGCAAACTTTCATGATTATTTTCAAGTAAACTTTCACAATCATTTTCAAGTAAACTTTTGCTAAATGTTTCATTCTCTGATAATTCAACTAATGCACTTTCTTCAGGTAACTATTTTATTAAGTTTTATTAATTTTATTTATTTATTTAAACCAATATTATTAAGTGCTTACATCATTTTTATTTGTCAATCTTTCATTTTTCTTTTTACTTAACCTCTTGTCTAACTATTTATTTGTCCTTTTGTTTAACTCTTTATCCAAACTAATATCTACCCATTTACTTGCCCTGTTTTCTAAAATCTCTTTCATCATATTATTAAATGTTTCATCCAATTCTTCAAATCTCTTATCAAACTCTTTATCTATCATTTCGTCCCTTATTTCATCTAATTTTTTATACATTATTTCTTCATCCAATCCCTCATTAGACAATTCAAGCAAATATTGTTCCTAAAAAAAAAAAAAAAAATTTAATAAAGCATTAATTTAAATATGTATAAAGGTTAAAACTGATTGCATGTAATAGTAATATAAAACTGAATTATAATCAGGTTGCATTATGCAATATAATATATATATATATCATTATAACAAAATATTTACTGTACCTCGATATTTAATGCTGCAGCTCCTAAGAGTAACTCCACAATTTCTTGTTGATTAAAATTATCTTGGAGCTCAGATGCCTTGAACCAATTCTTAGGTAACTTATCTTCCGAATTAATATGCTAATCTTTAATTTCCTTTAATAATGTGAAATGGCACAAGGGGTTTTGTTCAAATACTAAAGCATATGGGCTATTTTTTATTTGTCATGATATTTAAATATTCATGGCATCTATAAAAAAATTAAAAATAAAAATAAAAAAAAAATTAAACATACACAAATCTAATTATAAGAACAAAAACACTTACAACAGCACAATGGCATAGCATGAGCCTAATCCTTTTTTTGTGTATCCTTCATTCATTTAGACACTTTTTGTTAAAGAATATCATTTGCACATTCTACTAATTCTTGGCTTTTAGGATGTTTTGGACAGTCATTAATAATATAAACATCAGGCCATATAGTTAATAATTCACAGATTACTTCTGCAGTAAACTTCTGACTATTATTGGTTTGAAGAATAATCGAGGCATCAAAACAGACGAAAACGTTAAAAAGAAAAATCACCACCTTGATTGGTCGTTTACTTGTTATGGCTCGAGCCCAGAATATCATGTGAAATGATCACATATGTGACTATATAATGATAGTCACCATCAGGTATGCTAGTTATAGAAATTAAATCTATCTGAACCTTATTAAGAAAGGAATTTAAGATTATTGGCTTTGCAGCCACCAGATTTGGAAAATTTCTTCTTGTTGCATATGTTGTGCAATTTCTTATAAACTCCTTTATGAAAGACTGTGAAATATAACTGTATTGTTTCGAAACTTAAAAAATGTTTAAATAACATTATTCCTCATAATGACTATAAAGTAAAAATTTTAGAAAGTTACGTATTGCATCCCATAGTTTTGACAAACCAACATGTTTCAAAACCCCTTGGTGCAAATTACACAACACTTCATATATCTTGTCAATGGGACACATAGGCAGGTTTGAGTCAATTTTAATAAGTTGAATTATAGGATTTGCTGATGTTCTAAGATCATGTATAGCAAATGTATTTTTTGCTCAGTAATGATCCTTTGCATTCTTGATTATTGTATTTGTTAGATCTTTTAAAACTTTAATACAAAAATCAAAGTCTTCGTGTGTAATAAAAGTTTTACATCGCCTATTAGCTGACTTGCTGCTAAGGTATTTGAAAAGCAATTTGTTAAATGTATTACAAAATAAAAAAGGATAATCTTAAAGTTCAGCCATCAGATAAAAGAGTTGTTAATAATAAAAATTTATATTTAAATATTTTTGATAATTTATTATAAGACATAATTTACTTTAACTATTGTTATGTTAATCGATTATACATTTATTATATTATCGAATTTGAAATCAACTTAGTTGCTATTAAATTTAATAGTTTATTGATTTATTAGTAATTTATTAAACATCAAGTTTAGAATCAATGTAAGTTGCTTTTAAATTTTATATCAACTTAGGTTACATTTGAAATTCTGCTTCAACCTAAGTGGATTCCAAATCTACAGTAATTTCATTCTGATATACAACATATATACTATTTATAGTAAAAATTTCAACTAATTTGAATTACTAGTTATTGAGAAAACTAAATTCAAAGTTTAAAAAAATTTAATAAAATTTTGTTATATATAGTTATTAATTATTAATGATGATACTCAGCAGAGATGCTATATATTATTACTAATTTAAGAATTACTAATAATATATATTATTTTTAAAATTTTTCTGATAAATTTAAGAATAATACAGTAACATAAAGGTAAGAAATTTAAAAAACAAAATATTACTAAATATAGTTAAATTAAAAAGTAAAAGAAACAAGACTAAATAAAATATATAAGTAAAATATATAAATATAATTACAAAAATAGTATCTTTTATATAAAATATTATATTAAGTTTAAAGATATTTTTGTCTGTATAATAATTTAATAATATGTTCTAATCACAAGTAGTTGTTAAGATAACTGTATATAAACATATTGCAAATACAAACTTAGATGCTATATAAATAAATGCATATAGTTAGTAAAATTAAAATTATAATTGCTAATATAGTACTAGTAATAATTCATTTTATAAATATAATTATAAATTATACTATATCAAATTTAGAATTACTGGCAATATTACCAAAGTTATAAAAAAAAAGCACTTTTTAAAAATAAATAGAAGGCACTTTTTTATTAAATTTGTTTTTTACTAAATTTATTAATAAAGCTATTACTTTATTAAAAAATCTAGCTAAGTATTAAATATGAAAAATTATATAAATAGAGTATAATGATCTAGTGAAGTGGTCAGGTTGTCAATCCTCCAAGTGGTAAGTTGAGTGTTCAAACTTATTAACAGTAAAAATTTGAATAATTACCTATATAATATTCATATTATAGCAACTGTTACTAACAATTGGGTTAGGATATCTATAATGATGATCACATCAGCATGACTGGCAGGTCATAAGATATTTGTGTAACAAGTTATATGACATTGTTCTTTGAAACAAGGTCTGTGATTATATAAAAGAATGCAAACTGACAATTGGATAGTGCAAACACTAAATAAGTTCTTGTGACTGTATAAATCCATTGAAATTGGATAACAAGAAGTCTATTTAGGAAGACCTAAGTAGAGAGGTAGCTGGATCTTTAATGGCCTTACTGTAAAGGCTAGTCTAAGAAAATGGATATCAAGGTTGTAGTATCCAGTCATAATAGCTGAATAGGCAACAACCTCTAAGTTGGAAGTTTCAGGAGTACTACCAATCAGGCTGCTAGAACAAACTGAAGAAAAAGAATATCAGGCCAACCTGATATACTGATGAACTAGTTATAGTTTTACATGAGCTATCTGGATTGAAAGTTTGATAAAAAGGCAGGTAAAAAGGCAGGAATATACTAAAATACTAGGGTTATGCTGTAAAGTAGATATTAAGGTCTAAGTAAATTCTATAAAACCATAGTAGTTTAATGGTTAAGTTCTAATCACAAGTGTTGGTTCTGCTATAGTGATACTTAGATCAGCTGTAAAAATAGATACAGAAGGCTCTGAGAAGTTTACCTTAAGGATAAAATAGTCCTAAAATTGAGATGATGATCTGGGCATCAGATATGACTCAGTGAAGTTAATAGGTTTGCAGGTTTAGAAGGTTTAAAGTGGAATACTCAAGCAGAAGTGTTAGATATAGCAATTGGTAGGAAACCTTCAGGTGGACTCCTTAAACAGATAATATAGAAAAGTTATACATGTAGCCAATTGTACACTCTTCTTGTAGTGGTTCACTAAACTACATTTATCATTGTTAAATAAAGTCAAAAGACCCAAGAGATTACTTTAACACTAAAAAAAAAAAATTATATAAATAAATAGATAAAAAAGTTTATTTATTTATGAGATGTGGTGACCTAGTGAAGTAGTCAGGTTGTCAACCTCCAAGTAGTAAGTTGGATGTTCAAATTTCATTGATAGTGAAAATTTAGATAATCACCTATATAATATTCATATTATGGCAACTGTTACTAATAATTAAATTAGAATACCTGTAATAGTAATTACACTAGCATAACTGGTGATCATAAGGCATCTGTGCATTGTTGGAGTTACATAAAAGAATGCAAACTAACAAATTGAACAGTACAAATACTAGATAAGTTCTTGTAGCTGTATAAATCTGGTTAAATTGAGTAACAAGAAGTCTATTTAGAAAAACTTGAGTAGAAAAATAGCTAAATTTTTAACAATGCTATTGTAAAGGCTAGTCTAAGAAAACAGATACTCAGGTTTTAGTAACCAGACAGGTACAAATCTCTGGGTTGAAAGTTTCAAAAGTATCACCAATTAGGCTGCCAAAATGAATCAGAGAAAAAGAATATTAGGCTAATCTAATATACTGATGGACTGGTCATAGTTCTATATAGGCCATCTGAATTAGGAGTCTGATAAAATTTAGAAGTATACTAAAGTACCAGAATTATGTTGTAAAGTAGATGCTAGAGTCTAAGTGAACTCTACAAGAGCATAGTAGTTTAATAGTTAAGTCCTAACTACAAGTGTTGGTTCTGCTATAATGATACCTAAATCAGTTGTAAAAATAAGTACAGAAGGCTCTGAAGAGTTTATCTTAAGAATAAATTAGTCCTAAAGTTGAAATGATGATCTGGATATCTAAGTATAGCCCAGTAAGTTAACACAAGTTATAGGTTTAGAGGGTTTAAAGTAGAACATCCAAGCAAAGATATTAGGTACAACAATTAGTAAATAACTTTAGATAGACTTTTTAAATAAGTAATATAAAAAAGTTACATGTATAGCCAATTGTATATTCTTCTGTAGTAGTTCATTGATCTACAATACTGATAAGAGATAAAAAAAAAAGTTTATTTATAAAAATACTAATTTGAGAATGTCAATTCTAGTATAGTAGTTGGGTTGTTATCCTTCAAGTAGCTAGTCTAAGGTTCAAATTACATCTATAACAAAATTTGAAAATTAACCTGTATTATTGAAAACTGTTTCTTTTTAATCAGTTAATTTAGATATCTGTAATCTTGAGTACAACCAATCAGGTTCTATTTATTATTAGGAGCACAGAGCATTTATATAAAGTGTAACATTATATATAAATAGAGAAATATTAATAACCAATGTCATATAAAACTTTAGTGCAAATCTATAATAAGATTACCAGATGTAAAAGAATATGAAACTGAAGAAACAGAAGCCTACTTGAAAATTCTTAAGTAAAGAAGTAGCACAAACCTTCAACAGTGCTATTAGACTAATAAAAGTCTAAAAAATCCTAATAAGGAATAGGCAGATATAACTAGATAAAAAGATATATAGAGAAGCATATGACTAATCAGATTGTCAGGATTGTCAGAGAAAAAGGATACTAAGGCATACTATACTAAGCTATCTGAATTAGGAGTCTGAAAAGTTTGTCAAATTCTGAGTTAAATAATAAAGAGATGAAGAAAAGAAGTTGAAAAGATAAGTATCAGGGTTTGGGTAAACTTTACAAGAATAGAAATAGTATAATATAGCAGTTAAACAAATAACTTCTGTAACTGCAAGTATTAGATAACTATAGTATATTACATAAAACTAAATTAGCTATGTGTAAAACATGAAAGGCTCTAATAACAATGCTTTTAAGAATACACTACATAAAATAAGATATGAAGTTCTAAAAGTATAAGTAAAAGTATTTAGAATTTCTTGACTAGTGTATATAATAACATAGTAGAGATTGTAATACAAAATGTTTAAATAGACAATACTCCTAGTTGGGTTGCAGATATGGCAGCTAGTGTAGAACTATTGGTGGACTACTTAAATTAGACACTAAAAGTATATATATAACTAGTTGTACTTTTTAATATAAGGTAACTTCTTTAAGGCTTTGGTTATGAGTTTCTATATTCTAATTTATTGAATAAAGTCCTAGTTCCAAAAAA